GGGGGGGGGGGGTAAATTGTGTTGTGGAGAGGAAGCTTTGGGAGTTGATTAGACATTTTAGGGAAAAGGGAAGGGGAACTCTTGTAAAGAAAATGAGGAAAAATATAGACTATTTTTGCTACAACATTCTCGGTTATTGGAGAACTTGTCCTTTTATAAATGAATTTACTACACGAAATCGAACGAAAAAATGGAGTTAAATATTGTCAGATCCGCCTAGTAACCTAACTTCATCGAACACATTGTACGGGGAATCCCAATTTCCGAGAGCGAAAACGGACTGTAATAGAGGAACAGTCCGAATATCAAGTTGGCTCATCTTATTCCAATTTCCGACTATTCAATGTCTCAGAAGCGGGAAAATTCTTCTACCGATTTTATGTTCTCCCACTCGAAAGAATATCAAATTCACAAGAAAAGAAATTGAACAATTATTTTTTTTGGCTTTTTAAATTCATTTTTTCTCGTTACACTCAACGACTCAACTGGAGTTCATTCATACTACCTTAATAAACTTCCCACGATTCACCAAAATTATCAAGCGATCAAAATAAAAAACATTTAGGAAAGAATTGAAAATTCGTTGAAAAACTAGAGAATGAAACGAAAAAATTAATTGAAATCGATGAGATAAGGGGATTAATAATCTTTTTATTCGGTTTGTCATTGCAGCACATCACCATCGCCGGTGGTAACGGGGACAGGCACATCCATGTCCACGGTGCAGGAAACCAACAGCACCAACAGCGTCTTGTATCATCCGTCACATCACGCAACCTCCTCGGCTGCCACAATGGTACCAGCTGCCTCGCAGATACCAAACCGGACGCCGGGAGTCCTCTGTTGTCCATCTCTGAGGTGACCAATACTCTGCTCAACCAGTAGCAATAATGTGACAGCGCATCAGTCCAATGATGATCAATGTTACCATGTTCGATGATTTATTATGTTTGTATCATATTGGTAATGTGAGATTTATTTCTTCTGTCGATTTTTGTTCTCTCCCATTTTGTTTGTTACGTTTTTGGAGAATTGAAAATTACATATCAAATGAGCGCAAATGTCACGGATTGTCAGGAAATGGGTTGTGAAAAATTTTGAGTAGAATATTTCATGTCGGTGTATTTGATTGAAGAAATATTTATCATTGAGATGAATTTTTTGGAAATTGTTCTGAATCCAAAGGAGACAGCGACATTTCTGTTGAGACATTTTTTATAGGGTTGAATGAAAATTTTGTCGTCTCGTTTGGATCTCAAATGTTCTCGCAGAAACTGATTTTGAGGATATCCAAGTACTTTGGAGCTGACATTTCACAATGATTTTATATTAATAATAAAATCATTTATAAACAATCAATTTTACGCTATAAAAATCATTCGTTCGGAACTATAACAAATTTATTAATATTCAAAATTTTACCAAAAATCGACGTCATGTAAAAAAATAAGGTTTCCGAAAGTTTAAACAATATTCAATTATTTATCTTTATACAACGAATGTTTAAAAAATAATTATACCGTGCAAAATGTAATTTGAACATTCGGAATCTTCATGATGTTTTTTCAAATTTTTCACACGCAATTTAATTGACATATTTGACATTTGCAATTATAATGGCAATTGCAATTATTATTGCAAAAGATACTTGGATATCTTCAAAGTGAAGCCAAAAAATTATCAAATTCTTCAAATTTTCAATCCCCTTAATTCCAAAATTTATAATAACTAAATGAAAAAGAAATCGCATTTGACTTTCACCTTTCATCCTCGAATGCTTCTCTTCATTCAACCATAGTAACAAATTTCGGCCTATCTTCCTCTCCCTCACTCCTCAAAACAATCATCAATTATGTACAATACATCGCGCTTGTATAATTTTTCTACAGAAAAATAAAATACGTATTCTGTGATATGTGTTAGATAAATAACAAGAACACAATAATCGTCAGAGACGTACATGATTTTAATATTTATTAGTGTGAAAGTTAAATGATAGGTAGTGGCATTCTGTTTCTCTCTCTAAAATAGAAAGGGAAAAACTGCGAGAAATCATCAAACTTATGGTTTTACTTCTCACATCGTGCGAATGACTGGGAAATATCCAGAATAAATTGTTAGCCTGCATTATCAATTCCCTCCCTTCCCTCCCCGCCCCTTCCCCTCCCAGTCTTGCCAATATTTTGTTAATATGTTTGTAATTTTTGTACTTAATTAATTTATACACTATTTATGTGAAGAAAAAAAGAATGTGTTTAGGTATTTAGCGAAGCTAGATGAGCCTTCCAATATCTGTAAAATAGTTCTCATTTGCAAAGCCAAAGTGTTTTTTTTTCTTTGTTAATTAATTTGAATTGATGTTCGTACTATTTGAGGAAAAAAAATTGATCGATCAAGTTTTTTAATTATTTATTGCTGTGAATTTTGATAAATCTGGGGAAATTAATTGAATTGACTTTGCAACTGAGTGCAATGAATTACTGTCTTTAGTACCTTCTTTTAAACGATTTAATTGAATTGTTCGATTAAATAGCAGCGTTGCATTACGAAGGAGAAAAAGTTTCTAGTAGGTAATTAAGAAATCGAGTCTAGTCCATGTATAATGCGAATTTAGTAGTCCTACTGTGCTCTTCCTGAGAACAACTTGCATTATTTTGGGGGACTCATGTGGGTAATGATGGGGGTAAGAGTGGAGATGAGTGATTAATTATTATTAGACTTTCACTTCCGATGCAAGGATGTTCTCTTATAAGAGCATTGATGTATATTAATTGTATATTTACAACATGATATTCAGTAATGAGTAGATCAATTATTGATTTCTCAGCATTATTCACTGTAGAATGAAAATAAATTACGATTACGAGTATTTTGGGATCTCACAGAACACTTCCTTAGTAATCTTTTCTTTTTTTTTATGAAGACATCTCCAGAATTGTATAAAGGCGAAGGTGGAGAGCGGGGAATTATTCCAGAATCACTTCGCAAATATCTCTGAATCCATTTGGCCTGGAGCAAAATATCATGAGATATTTTCCGTTGGAAATTTTCTCGATCGTAAAAAAGGGCTTTTGACTATTGGCCAGTTTTGAATGAATATCTCGAAATCTGAAGGTGATAGCAAAATTTTCGTTATGACCTTTTTTGTAGAGGGAATTGAGGGCTACAAAAAAGGTCATTACGAAAATTTTGTTATCTCCCTTAGATTCTGAGATATTCCTCGAAAACTCAGCTAAGGGTAAATAGACTTGAACCGTTCCACCGCTTCGCTACTGAATAATTTCGGAGATATTCGTTAAATTATAAACTGAAGCTTTTTCAGAATTCACAACTGATCTGCAGATTATTTCGTGAATATCTCGAAATCCATAAATTTTGAGGAAAAAAATTCAACATTTTTTTGTAATAAATTTTCTCAACATCAAAAGAGTTTTCTGATATTTTTTTCTAAATAGTCAGGGATATTTTCGAAATAATCTGTCCCGTTTTCTTCGCATCTCCCGTTCTCCGCCACTTCACTATACAATTTTCCCTCAGTTTACAATTATTACGTACAATTGATTGAATTTTTTCTGTTCCACAGTGCGACACCGTGAATGAAAAATCTAGAAAAATAAGAACTGCTCCCTTCCATTGAAATGAATAATAAAAACATCGAAACGTAAACCGACCAATGGTCTCTGAGAAATCGTGATTGTCAGTCAAATCTCTAGACTCAATGTTGAATAATAGTTATATTGACGAAAGAATTAAAATGTAGGTAAAATGTGAAAAAACGGAAGTAATTAAATTTGAGATACTCTTGGTAAGGCTTAGTTCGTCCCAACAATTGCGACGATAATGACATATCATTAATAATTATTCAATATTCCATGAGAATCACTATTCCCCTAATAATTCACACGAGAATGTATTTATTTGATACCCCTCCCCTTACACGATCTAATTGATAATAGAGAAAAATCGATGAAAAATCTATTGTATCATATCATGCCAAATTGAAAAGGAAAATATGAGAAATTTTTACGTTCGAAGTAATTGATTCCGTAGAGTCTAATTAACAGTATCCATATCGCTAAATTTAAGATCTACAAAAAATGAAGAAATTAATTCGAAAATGTATCAAATGTTTATATGAAATAAATTATAAAATGATAGGAGTAAAATTTCTGGGTTTTCTTCATTTCATAATTTGAACAGGGATGGCCATCAATCATTGGAGTCTTCAATATTATGAGTAAATTTAAAAAACTGACGACTTACTAATTAAGAATCAACATTCACTTGGCGAAAAAATTCGATTTTGCCGAAAGTCGACTTTCCCCGTGAAAAAATCCAAGAATTTAAAGAAGAGAACTCATTCGGAAGTAAATTGCTATTTTATTAGCAACAATAACAACACTCATTTATAAAAAAAACAATTGTCAATACAAAAAAAATAAAAAAAACCCAGTTAATTACTCAAACAAGCGTGTAATTGGCTACTTAAAGATCGAAACTGAAAAGGGGAATTCCCAATTTTTATTCCACACATTTTTTTAATTTTGAAAAAAAACCCTTTCGTATTCCAAGTTTTAACCGCCTCCCTCAGCAAAATAAAACATCTCAACTTCAAATAAGACATTCAAATCTTCAACGAACGTTACTTTTTATTTACATTTACGTTGTGGAAGAAGTGGAGGCAAAAAACATTATTTACATGAACAAATATCGTGTTAATCTGCAGTCAATTTTACAAATCAACCTGAAAGAATCGGAATTAAGTATTAATTTTCCTTAAATGCATCACAGAGTGTAAAGCTAAATGAAGTTCTAAGTGTCCTTGGACTGTCCAGGCCTCTTCCGCCTCGTCATGGCGATTCCATTTTTGTGCTTGACCGAGGGTTTGACTCTTTGAGCGTGACGCTTGAGGATGTCATCGAGGGACAGACAGGATTCACAGGTGTCACAGTCGTTTACTTCAAGTGTGCAGAGATTGTGGCGCCATTTGTTGGTCGGATCCTTGTAGGCACACTCTGGAGTTATGTGGCTGTACAGCTGGTAGTCAGGACCTCCTGAGCATAATTTCAGACTTTGAACGTGATCCAGGAGGGTCTCGAAATCTTCCATGCTGTGGATCGACGAGGGCTTGTCTTTTAATACTGTTCGTGAATTCAAGAGGAAGATATCGAAGTTTAACTTCTCGTCGAAAACAATCTGCAATGGAGAGGAAATTACTTGTGAATTCGAGAGAATTTCAATTTGTTGAGGATTTCGTGAATTTGGAAAACAGTTTTCTGACATTTTTAAAATAAATTTCCTGATTTCAGAGATATCTTCAGAATAATTAGCATTATCTGTTTGAAATTGGTCTGAAACAAAATGATGAGATAATTATTCAATACTTCTGAAAAAATTCAATAGAAAACTTCAAACAGAAAAATCGAAATCTAATGATTTTTTTGGATCAAATGTATAGAAGAGCCTGCGTAAATAACAGATGCAATTTTAATTACAAAATGATATTTTCCACGAAATTTTGTTGAAATTAGTTTTTAAATATTGACGTGTTTTTGAATAAAAACTTGCTTAAACAAAAAGTAAATAAATATTTCTCAACCTAAATTTTTTCGTGTAGTTTCCAAGTGACCCTCACCTGTTTAATATAAAAAGGCTCCAATCCACTGCCGTCAACATTATGCATAATCATCTCACTGACAACAATCTTCTTAACTGGAAGCTCAGTACAGTGAATGGCCCAGGACCTGTTGGGAAGTGTCGAGACAGCGTCTTCAGAGTATCTAATACGATCAAACAATTTGTGCATGTTCTGATCAATCTCCTTCATGGCATAGCCCAAGTCATTGTCGTTCATGTTAACATCGTTACGCCCCTGGGATGCTGCGGGGGCTTCTCCCTTCGGGGCTTGTCTGTCGATAATTTCCTAGAAGCAAAATTCCATTCCACTAAAAAATTCAAAACAACAGGGAATTGCTCATTTCAATTTATAATCGGGGTACGTACGACGTCTTCAGATGCATTAGACTTCCCTGAGGAAGTCTCTGATCTCGAGGAATCATTTCCCGAGCTTTTACTATTGGTCAAGAGCTTCGGAGTTTTCTCTGTTGATGTTTTTCTGCAACAATGGATAGTAAATATTCAGAAATTAATTGATCAATTCATTTCAATTCACTTAAATTTAAGTTTCCTATTTTTTGTGTAGAACCTCGGTTATACTCTGGCTAAATCCTGAATATGCCCTGATTAAATTCCGGCTAGACCCTGATTAAACCTTGATTGAACCTTGATTAACCCGGACTGAAACCGAATTCGAGTCTTGAGAGGGTCTGAATGTAGAATTACTCGACAGAACCAAATAATACGCAAAATGTTGGTGACATTCCAATTGACGATAGTACTATGACCCGAAGAAATAGAAGAAGAGAATAGTGAAATAGGAATTTAAAAAAGAGAGAACCCATTCGGAAGCAAATGGCTAATTTATTAGCAACAATAACTATACTAATTTATAAAAAATGCAATTGTCCACTCGTTTCGGTTTTACTTACGTTGCACTCAGCCCATTCTTCAGTTTTACGGCCTTCTCCCTCGCAAGTAAGTAACCTTTCCTCTTCTTACTCTTTGGCATAATTATTCGATCAATAATTCAACAACAAACAACAGTAGAATAGTCAACACTCCTTTGTCACAACTAATCAGTCAATGATCGTTGAAAACTAGTGAGCAAGATCACTAAAAATGGCCGAGTGAGTTTGACGTTTAGTTGTCGTCGAAATACTGAACTAAAAACTCGAATTGTCTCCGATGGTAACAATTCTGCACTGATATACGAAAACAACACTCCAATTTGTCATCTTATCTCTACAAGGAGTGGATTTAGGAGAAAAAGTCCTATAAACTTTTTTGTACAAAATTTAATTCCCTACAAAAAAGTATTCTAAACATTTTCTCGTAAAATCACGCGTTACCGAGATAATGAGAAAATTAACAAAGTGATAATCTCTCTTCCATCGAAACGTGTTTCCTAACTCCCCATTTATCTCGAAAACGAATCGATCTAGAAGAAAAAATGAAAAAACTATTTTTGTAGGAAATTAAATTCTCAAAAAAAAATATTTTGTGACATTTTGCTCTACAACTACTAATTACCGAGATAAATTACAAAATAAACTACACGATAATGCCTCCGCAATCCAAGTTTCCTAAACCCCCATTTATCTCGCTAACAAGTTGATCTACAAGAAAAAATCAGAGAACCATTTTTGTAGGAAACTAAATTCCCCTCAAAAAATAATTTCTGACATTTTATTCTAAAACCACTCATTGTCGAGATAACTGCGAATTTAGAAAGCTGGTAATTAATCCTCAACGGGTAAACAAGAAAACATTAAATAAACTCCAATGAAATGGTGAACTACCGCCATCACTTGGTGAACACCATAATGATGTGATTCGCTACACCTGTGCCTCTTTGATCAGCTGTTACTCCTCGAATTATTGCGTCGATCATCACACTGATCACAACACTGATAACGTGATAACTGTCGCACTCATGTAGTTCCGGAGCTATGTACCATCGCATGAGGATCTTTACCCGCCTGTACGTACATTCGAACACAATTTCTAATGACGAGACGAGTGGAGTTGACAATTGACCGATGTTTTCAGGAAGGTATTGCGCTGATTGTTTTATAAGAGAATAAAAAAGGAGAAGAGACCCACCAACGTCTTGCACTTGTAGTTTGTGATTCCCCAGAGTTTTAATCACCATCGACAATATTTGGGGTGAGTATTGCCATTGGGTTCGCGAGAGGACTGATTTTTGAAACCTGTTCGTTGATGAGGGGCTGTTTTCCAGGGGAAGATGAGCCTGAGGAGGAACTCGTCGATGGACTCCTCGACAGGGGGGGACGATCTTAATGGCCCCATGTCGAAATTAACGAGCATGATCAGGCAGTCCAAGAAGGTCTTCGTGGGGAACTACACTGAGAGACGATATGTCCAGTCGGTACCGGCGTATAGGTGAATTTACGAGGGGAATTGAATTTTTGGGATAAACAATTTTACTGACATTCTGCCTCACATGTTTATAAAACTTTTTGGTGGAAAACCTGGCACTTCCCCGAAGAAATTTCAGTAAATTTCGATTGGAACTCTATAATAATTCTATTGGGGTTCTATTAACATTCTAATCTAAAAGTTGAATTATCTAACTCTCTAAATTTTATTGGAAAACCAAGGAATTTCTCTGAATTTCAATTGGAACTCCAAAGCAATTATTGGAGTTGCAATTACCTCTATCAGGAGTCTTGTACACGTGGTTCAATGTTGATGATAATTAGACGTGAGAAAAAGAGAGAAAAAAAAGAGAAATGAAAATGGCGATGAGACTAAACTTCCGAAAATATTGGGGTTGTATTAAAATTCAATTGAGAAGATCTAGTTTTTGGGAAAATTCTATTAAATTATGCAACTTCACCGTAACAGATTTACTGGAAATTCAGCTTATTGCAGGGACATCGTTTCCATTGATCCAGAGGAGAGTGAAGTTGTGAACTGCCTGACTGAGATCCAGAAGGTCGTTCGGGAGGAGTTCAGGGAGGAGAAGTGGCTGGGAATTACTTGTGAGTGGAATTCATCATATTTAGGGGAGCATGGGGCAAAATGAAACACGGGGCAACTGAAACAGTGGGAAAATCTCGTCATCTAAAGGAGATAGGACATTTTTGAAGAGGACCTTTTTTGTAGCTTGTAAAATTCTCTACAAAAAATGTTCTCATGAAAATCGTCCTATCTCCCTTAGATCACAAGATTTTCTTGCTGTTTCATTTCGCCCCGTGTTTCATTTTGCCCCACCGTCCCCTATGTATTCATTACGTCCCGATAATAAATTTCCCCTTTCCTACCCGTTTTCTCCTAGAGTAAGAATATGAGTAAGAATTTTTTTTATTGGTTTATGAGCAAGAATAGTTGATGAAAAATTTTTTATCGTAGGTAATATGGTCGACAATATCGTTGTAAATTACAACTTATGGGTGGAACTGGATAAAGTGCCCCTGGGAAAGCACTGGTTTCAGATTCGGTCCCTTAAAGTGAATCAGAACACGATTCAACTGCAGTTGAGGTATTTGAGGCCATATGAAGGGAGAGGGAGAGACTCGTTCTTTAATGAGTCTGCAGAATTCCCATCTTTCAATATAAAACAGGTGAATTACCAAGACAAGAATAGCGTCCCCTGATTAATTCAGTAATTTTACTTCAAAATACCATTAATCTCATTCTCTTAACATTTCAAGTCATTCTTTTGATTATAAAATTGCCTCGAAAATACGTGTTGAGGCAAAACATCAGAGATAATTTTTTTATAGAATTTCGTCAGCTTCTCACAAGAATTGAAATTTTTCCGTTCACAGATAATTACGTAATTAACAAAATCACGCAATTATCCATTTCCAAAGAAAAATAAACATCTCCACAAAGTGTTAATACAATGAAATTAATGTTTTTTAAAATTCCTTTCACGTTCTCATTCTTCTCATCACTCGAATTTCAGATTCTCACTTACCACAACGTCTGCGAAGTAGCCAAATTCAGTGCTGTATTAATAATGAGTATAATAACTGTTACTGGAAACCTCCTGTGGTACATAAGTGAATATTCCCTGCGATTAACTCGAGAACTATCGAATCTGATAAGAGTCCTGACACCCATCATCTTCGGACTCTACGAATTCATGACGAAATGCGTCGGTGGCTTCATGTGGCTGATCTACATGCTGTTCAGCGGCAATTCTGCCCCCAGGAACCCCCCACCCATGGCCATAATGGGGAGCAGTCCCCGACCCCTCCAGTACCGGAGGAGTTACTCCAACCAGAAGTTCAGATACTGATGGACGATAATTATTCACCAAGTATTACACCAAACAAATTTATCAATTCAGTCATCTTTCGATTTTTTAATTGTATTGAGGGGGATTTATTCGTGATCTTGATTTGATCATAAAGTGCTAATGAAGATTTTTAAAACCAAATGTAAAGATGTTTTATATTGATAATAGATACCTAGTATTATATTTTCGGAAGACTGATTGATTGACAGTTGATCATTTCCCAGGATTAAGTGGAGGAGGTTTAATAAATTTGAGCGAGTAAACATACATCAAATGTATTGATAATACAGTACGCTTTTAGGAATGATAGATTATTTTTTAATTCACTACTTGGGGAGTAGTGATTAACTTCAACTGATCAATTTTTTTTTGTTCTTTGTGAGATTATTGTTGTTTGTTTGATCATTTACTTGGTGATGCCGATAACACCACAGGCGAGACGAGCTCCAGCGTTGCCAGTGGTCTTGGAGAGCTCGTGGCCACCCTTTCCCAAGTCGTCAATGTCAGCATGAACCTATTCCCAAATTCAATGAATTAAATTGCCATCAACATTAATTCAATTTGTGTGAGGAACTGTAGGTTGCAGGGGATTTCGTAAATATCTTGAAATTGGATGGGTTTAGAAAAAAATGTCAAAAGATACTTTTTACGGAGAATTTTATGACCTACAGAAAAGCTTTTCTGACATTTTTCTCTAAATCCGTTATTTCTAGAGATATCCACAAAATAACGCAAAATAAAGTGAAAATTTAGTTTTAAAAATGAGAGAAAGGTTCTTAGGGTGGCTCGAGGGAAAATACTGACCACGAGGGTTCTCCCAATGATATTGTGAGCCCCCTGGAGCTGGATCTGTTTGTCTGAGATGCTGACCTTGGCAACACCGTCAGCACCAGCCTCAACGTTACCCAAGTCGCCTACATGACGCACTGCATCGGTTGGACCCCCGTGCTCTTTCCCAAGAGGGTTGAAGTGAGGTCCAGCACTTGTGCATCCTTCAACCAAAAGAAATAACTTCACCACCGAACCATAAAGTCCTGAATAAGGGCCTTAACAAAGGTATTAGACCAATTCTGAAAATATTGAATTTGAGGAAGAATATGCAGACTTCATTTCCTCTAATTTTTTGCTTCGAATATATTTTTTTACATATTCTGGTTTTCAAACGAAAATGCCAAAAATTGCCTTGCAAAGAATCCTGGTATTTACATTTTATGAATAAAGATGAATAAAGATTTGAATTGTTATGAATAAAGAAATGAATAAAAAGTCTCAAATAAAGAGAATTTTCCACAGAAAAGTACTGACATTTTTTGATAAACTTAATCTACCCGGAGACATTTACAAAATAAATTAAAAATCAACTCTTTTTTCGTTCAAATGAACTTTACCCAGTGCACATTCCACTCGAGGTAGCCAAGTTTTTCTCCACTCATGCATTACTTCGGGCTTCTAAACCTGAACTACGTAATATAAAAACATCTTTCTGAGGCAATTATGCAGTCATAATATGCAAAAACATCTCAACTTTATTCTGAAATTTCTTGTCGACGTTTCGAGTGCTAAATGTATTTTTTTATGAATGAGAATGGTTATTGTTGTTAATAAATTAGCAATTTGCTTTTGAACGAATTCTCTTTTTAAAATTCTTATTTCACTATTCTCTTTTTTTTCATGTCATAGCACTACCATCAATTGAAATGTCATCAAACGTAACACAAAAAATAGGAGACTTAAATTTTAGTGATTACGAAGCTCTCATTCACAGCAAAAAACAAGAAAACGAAGAGCACAACAATCAGGACATTAATGTTTATTAATAAGACCTAACGTCAATGTTGTTATGCAAGCCTTATTGGCCCAGCAATCAAGCAGATACGATGAGATACTAGTATCGACATTGATAGCGACACAACAGCTTCCAAAACTCAACAATCAATGACAAAACAACGGACAGAAGTCAAACTCAAAAAATGAATCGTTAATTTACCATTTGTGTTGTCTCCGAACTCGTGAATGTGGAAGCCATGTTGACCCTTGGCGAGACCGGTCACTTCGCCGGTGACCTTGACGGGTGCCGAGTCATTCTGCATCAGGAAAGAACACGGGAATTCATTGAACAGGAACGACAAATGCGTCTTGTTGCAGTTGCAAAGGATTTCGCACTCCAACATTAAATATCAGGAAATGGAAACGAATGCCTCACCTCCTGCTCGAAGAAAATCGTTCCCTTGACTTCCCCCTCGAGTACACAGACTGCCTTAACCATTTTCTCGAGGAACTCGCTAATTAACTTGTGCCTCTGACGACGGTTCAATCTCGAATGTTCAGTTTTAACGTTTGATATTCAATCTTGGTGCTGAATCACGCACCGAAGCCTCTTTCGTGCCGTGTGGAAATGATAGGAGATATTGCGCTTTCCTCTTTCTCGCGGGTATGTAATTTGCGACGGAATGATCGTAAACTGTGCCAAGTTGAAACGCCGCCTGGTGGGGGATCACTGGCGTTCGGCTGATAAAGCAGGGAATTCAACTTTGAGGAACTTTTTTTGAAAATTTAAGGATATCCACATGGATATCCTTAAATTTTCAAAAAATGTATCTTTTTCTCTTTTTTAATCTGATATGGATCACATTATAGATTCAATTATTTGCAATCATCAAATTTGTCAATTCAATTGCGTGAAAAAAATTTGAAACAATTATGAATATTCAGCGCCATTGAAATAATATTTTGCACTGAATTATTATTTTTTAAACATTCTTTGTTTATAAATAACTAACGGAAATTTTTTTTTTATTGTAAAATAATTAAATGAAATTGTTGTTGAAATTAATTTTTTTAGGCATGAAATTAATTTCTAGTAAAAATCTGAATTTGAGTAATGATTGAATAATTTTTAATAAATTATTTATAGAAAGCTAGGGGGCTACGCCCCCTGCTCATAATCCTTATGCTGATCCTTGTGACCCTTATTTGGACTAGTTGAGGCTATGATGTGGTCTGAATCAGACTGTGAAAGATGCTTGGATATTCCCAATGTATATCCCTAGAAAACACGTTTTTCTTAACACTGTCCCCATGTTTTTCATAGATAATGTTTATAATAGTTCCCCGCTACTGAAAAAATGTTGACTACACTGTACTACACAGTTTAGTAAATAACAAATAATGAAATCCGGTATATTCTCGAAAAACATCGTAAAAGATTGATAAATTCCGAATACGGCGAATTTTTTGTAGAGTTTTTACTACGCAGTCTCTGCGATATTCAACTCTATAAAACGAAAATTTCGTGAGAGCCTTTCTTACTTGATTCCAGAAATTAATTGACAAATAACTTCTCATTTGATTTAAACAGTTATTGTTGGCTGCATCAACAACACCTGAGGATAGAAAAGCTCAATAACTTATGAGAATGCAATCAATTAATTCACTCAGAATTTTTTCCGGAAAACCATTTCGTCGATTTCGTAATCGATGAGCGAATTGAGTTCCATACTTTTAACTGAACATTTCTCCCCGTGCAAAGTTTCTCTATTCTCAGTTAGTCATGTCCCTTCCGTTTGCACGATGAATCAAACGGTTTTCTGGGTGTGACGGATATTTCGAAACTCGATGACGCATCAACGATGTTTTTTATCCCCATACATATCTATACCGTCAAGGTGAGACGATCGAGCTTATCACAATATTATCAGTGTTGAACTACCTATGACCGCTATACCCCGTTCCACTGGTAGAATCGTTGTAACGATCGAATCTGCTGGAGCGTAAGAAGCACAATCGAAGTCGCGAGAGAGTCTCAACAGGATGAAGTGTCTTCTAAGTGTCATCCTCTTGTCGCTGGGAACAACGTGGGCAGCAAAAATCTGTAAGCTTTTTCCTCTCATTCGAGCCAACACTTTAGTCCTCGAATTGATAAAGAATTTTGTTTTCTTCATGTGCAGATCGCCTATGTGCACCAGACGACATTAGCGATTCAGAGTGTAGTTTATTGGCGAAGGGTGATAGCCCCGTGCTTTGCGAAAGAGTTACAGACCGAACGGAATGCGCTATTAAGATCGCTAAGGGTCGCGCACATTTTGGCGTTTTCAATGCTGAGGAACTGCTGCTCGCTTATCATTTCTACCCGGATGAGATCAAGCCGATTGCACAGCTACGGCACAGGGAAAGGAGAAATCGTTAGTAGAATTCTCTATTCTCCGGATAAATGGGCAACATGGGAGTAAAGCCACGTTCCAGTGATTACTCGATCGTTATTTTATCGACATTCGACGGAATGAATCATCGATGTTTGATCAGTCACAGGGAAAAAAGTTATCGATTTCAATCGAATTTATACCGAATCCTAGAGATTTTTCAGTGAGAGTTGGAGACAACTGCTCTAATTTTCTGTTATTTTTGGTTAAATTCTGGAATTTTAGTCAAGTTCTGGAATCCAGTACTTTGGACTCTCAAGATAAAAACCTTGGAGTTCTGAAATTGTGATCCCAATCTGAAATTATCCTCGTTACACGAGAAAGATTTTTCAGAAGAATTCCCCTCCTTAATCGCGTGATAAATATTTGATTTCCGTGAAGCGCAAACATTCGGAGATTTAAAATTTAATAGAAAAAGCTAACGATTTCGTTACAAAATTCTATTGGATTTCTATTGAACTTTCTATTAGTTTTTGGCCGATTCTATTGAAATGTTCAGTAGAAAATATTTAATGGAAAAAGTCAATAGAATTCGATTTTTCTATATAACTTATTCTCTTCAGATATTTTCTGTAGAATTTCCTCGGTTCAAATTTTCCAAGTTTTTTTCATCCGAGAGATGAAAAATTCAAATGTAAATTTAAGTGTAAATTTACTTCTCTCAAGTAAATATGGCAACCAAACGGTACACCGAATAATTTTATTTCTCTAGGAGAGTACGACTTCCAAAGTGTTGTCGTTGTCCCCGAATCATTCAACTCAAACGAAGGTCTAGCGGGCCTAAAAAATGGTGGATTGTGTCACCCCGGCTTTTCCAAGTCTCAAAACTGGAACGATTACATTCTGAAATTCTTTGAGAGAAAGGCGTGGAGTCACCAATGCAACGGCGACGTCTCCGTCGCCGAAAATGAAGCGATCAATCTCAAGAACTTCTTCGGGAGAGCTTGCCGGCCTGGCAAATGGGTTGAGGATCCGGCTGAGGACAAGCGATTGAGTGAGTGCTCCTCCGAATCTTCAATACCCGGAGAAAAAAATTGCGGAAAAATTATCAAACAAGTGATGTAATCGTGGAGCGGAATACATTTCTAGAATTTCTAAAATACGAGAAAATAGTGAATTTTCCCCGCTGACTTCAGTAAATTTCCTAAAAACAAATGCAATTTATGCCGAAACTGAAATTTACCATTCATGCAAATTAAACTATCTCCCTCCACGATTACCATTCGTATAGTAAAATTTACCGCGGTTTTCTAGTGCTTTTTATTCGACCTTTCTCTCCGTGAAGAAATACACAATTGGCTCCATTCTTCTTCCAGAGCAAAAATATCCGCAACTTTGCGAACTCTGTGATAATAATCATGATTGTGCTTATTATAACAACGACCACCATGGACACATGGGAGCGCTGGAATGTTTAGTATCTGGTCGGGGGAAGGCTGCATATGTGGCGTATGACTACGCTTACCAATACTTCGGGGTAAAATATTCAGTTTTTAATTTATTAGTTGAGATTAGATTAGACATTTTTAGTTATGATTATATTTTTGTAAAAAAAAATAATAATTAAAAATCTACGATAAAATATATGTGAATATATAGAATATATTCTATATATTCTATTTTTTAATAGAATACTATAATGAATTAAATTGATTTTTTTTTATTACATAAATATAATAATATTAATAATAATGAAATGTAATAATTATAAAACTGAAAAATCAATTATTTGAAATAATAATAATTCTTTTTAGGAAAATATAATAATAGATCCCCTTAATGGTCATTACTTGCAGGTGAATCTCACCGGACCAGAGCCACGAGTAACGAAACCAGGATTCCAATTTCTCTGTCCGAATGGATCGCTCAAACCTTTAACAGTATCCGAGCCATGCGCGTGGATTGGCCAGCCATGGAGTGCAGTTGCAGTAAAAAAGTATGTGCGCAAGTTGAAAAACAATTTATATAGAGAAGTTAAATTTTGATTCATTTTAATTATGAGGAATTTTTCCTTGAATTCAGAGTGATTTTAATGAAATTAAGACACATTTTCTCTTATTTTGACGGAATTTCGGTCCTTCAGAAACTTTTGAACAGAAACATTTGAAATTCAGAACTTTCGGGTTCTTAAAACGAAACCCTTGAACTTCTTCAATCAAGAACACATCCGGATTCTCAAATCAAGAACAATTTCGGCTGAATTAATATTGAATTAATGAAATTAATTTCCAATGTTTTTTATTTCAAACTTTTAAAGTTCTTTCTTTTAAGAATGCAAAAATTCTTATTTAGGAAATTCTTCCCCTCGAAATAATGTTTTTAGTATTAAATTTTGATACTAAATTTTTAGTATAAAAATAGAACAATATCCCTATTTCTTCCAGGGATCGGTCCTCAGAGCTCGTCTCGTCATTGAAAACATGGCTGGCGTCTCCTTTCGTCCCTGACAGTTGGAAAGACACTCTGAACAAAATCCTCAAAAAAGAAGGAGAAATAAGCAATTACACCGAGGATCAGACGCTAAGTACTTACTTAGCAACTGGCCGAGAGATCAATTTACCCGAAAAACCCTGTGGAAACACAATTCGTTGGTGTACAATCTCCCCCCAGGAGACTGGAAAGTGCAGATGGGTAGCGAAAGAGGCTCTTCTCCTCGGAATTGAACCCAAGTTCACCTGCGTCGAGACCAATTCCACATTCGATTGTCTCCGGACTATATCGAAAAATCTCGCTGATATCATCACTATAGACTCCAACTACGGATATTTGGCCAGAACGTAAGTGAAACAAAATCGCTCCTTGTTTCGAAGCAATGAGAAAATTTAATTGAAAAAGCTAGCATTCGTCAAAAAATTGTATTGAATTATTATTGAACTGCCATTAAAAATCCTATTCATTCTTTACGAGAATGAATGGGGAGCATGAATTTTTTTGAATTCTCTAATCTCAAGGTTGGGACCTGAATAATTCATTTTTCATTCACAAACGTTTGACATATTGCTCATTAATGAATAATTAATTATTAAAAGTTAAAGATTTCAAAGAATATTGCTCCATAATTGTCGCCGTTTAGCAATCAATATGTTACGAGTAATGTGTATAGGGAAATTAGAAAGAATTGAGCTTCCTGCAAGTTCCCTATTCCTCGATATAAATTTTTTAGGCTCTCCACAATTAATTTATTCTCTTCTCATTAGAAAAATCAAACAAAAAAATGTAGAATAAGTCCTATAGAAAAGTTCAATTCCATAATAAATAAATAGAATTGGTAAAAACAGTAATCGAATTCCAAACAAAAGTCCAATAGAAATTCAATATAATTTCCCAGCGACTGCAGTAGTAATTTTTTTTGCGAATTTCGTCGGTCGTGTCAATTCTATTGAGATTTTTATTTTCCCATTCAGCATTTTTAATCTAACGACATTACTATATGTCGAACCAATGAAGACGATGAACAGTGCAATAATAGCAGTCGTAAAGAATTCGCAATCACCGAAATTTGGTAGTTTCAAAAGTCTGAAAGGAAAGACCGCGTGCTTTCCTGAATACGGAGGAATCGCTTGGTTGTCACTGATCAATGTCGCTCGCAATCAAAAAATCATACCGGACACCTGCGATTATCCCCAAGCCCTGGCTGGCTTGTTCTCCGGGGCCTGTACCCCTGGAATCAACGACACGGATCATTCAGATGTGACTACCAAAGTGGAAGTAGTGCAACAACTTTGCTCTTCTTGTCCTTTGCAAGCCGACAACTCCACATGTTCCGCGAGTCCTGATAATACGTTCTATGGAGATGAAGGGGTTCTGGATTGTCTCGATGGCCCTGGAGATATTGGGTTTGTGGAAATAAAGAATGTTGGGGGAGAACTGCGAGCAGGGAAGATCAGGCCTGATGATTATAGAGTATTATGCAAGAATGGGAGTCTGGCGGTCAATACTGGATTCAATATTGACAGCAATTGCGCCCTGTCTGTCACCATTGATAGCGAGGTATGTAAAATTTATATTTGGGACATTCTTAGTTGAGATGTTCACGTAGATACCTCTACATGATTTCATTATGGGGGGTCATTTATTGAAAAGTCGCCACACCACAACGCCATTCATCAGAATTTTAACAAACTCTAGATTCTTCTGGAAGATTCGAAATTTTTTTCTGAAACACAAAAACGGGCCGCCGGATGAAACTTATACTACTCGATAGATTTTTCGACGCAGAATCCGAATCTGTTTGTTGAAATGCGCTCAAACGTATTGTGACTCAGAAAAAAATTCTGAATTCGGAAAAATGAAAGAAATCGATCAAGTTCAAAAAATAAAAAGTCAGTGAATTTTCCTTCTATTGAGTCGGGGAGAAAATAGGAGGCTCGGGATTCTCAGAAGGATGGAGTGGAGAAGAGTATATTTGAATAGGTTTCCCCGTAATAGGCTGAAAAAATGAAAAAAATGAAAAATAAAAATGAAAAATAAAAAATAAAAAAATAAAAATAAAAAATAAAAAATAAAAAATAAAAAATAAATCGTTCAGATTTTTTCTATGTTTGAAATATTCATCTTTTTTGAAGGTCCTGGGGAGATCTAGCAACCGAGCTGTTGAGAATATGGACACCACCATCGCTCTTCTGAACCTTGAGGCTTGGTTGGGGTACACTTCTCGCGCCAGGCGAACGATCAGAATCTACGACTCATTCACAGGATACCGTGATCTACTGTTTAAAGAAACAACAGTGGCGTTGAGGCCCAAAGACTCGGATGTCGAAAGCGTCGTAGCTTACAAAGAGTTGTTTGAGAATTTCGAATCCTGCCGGAATTCCGGAGTGGGAATAATTAGTAATACTCTCACTACGGTTGGAGGTGTAATCATTGCCATAATTATGCTTACTCAATAATTACCCTCAACAGCATTATGATTAAGACACCAATAAATCTGCATATGACATTATTTTCTAATTCAATGATTCTCCGTTGAGGGGAGGATTTGCGATGTATTTTTGAGTTGAGGGTTTGTAACAATGACATCAATAAAATATACTTTCGGAAACTTGTGAGTCTTTCTTCAATTATACTCATGCAATTCATCGATTGAATCAGCGGTTTCATATTAATGCAAGTAAAAAGAAAAAATTAATTTTTTAATTATGAATATTGTAACGGGGCCAATCTTTGCTGCGACAAAAATGGGCGTTAACTCTCGCTTTTCACTTGAAAAGTTCACACGCTGGATGGAGCTCGAATATGTAGGCGTCAGTTGCTCTTTGTCTCGACGGGAAAACAAACCGAAAATTACTTAATAAAAAAAATGAATAGAACCTGAATTACTTTCCTCTACTTTAATTCAGAACTTGATTTGAGAGAGGGATAAAACAATTACATAATGCTAAAATAATTTTAAAGTCAAGTGACTTTTTAAAAGTGCAGTGATAGAGTAAAAAGTCATCACTTAATTTTACTTATCTTGCAAATTTCGCGCCCTTTTTTTGAATTCAAACCACACAAGCAGATAAACGTCGGTAAAGTTTTAATCGACATAAATGTTATTGATCTTACCGACAAGCCGATGAAACTTTCACGCATTGTCGAGTGGTCTCTCGTCGCCGGCTCCGAGAACTTCAATATTTCCTCCTCTAAGAATAACTCCAATTGACACCGTGAAATTGTCAATTCCCCGTTGAAATAAATCACGATCGTCCGTGATCAGTTGGAAAATAACGCATTAATAAAATGGAGGGCCTGCTGGAGCGTCTGCGAACCATTGGGTAATTATCGTGAGGTTAACCATTCACTTCGACGCTAAAAACCGAATAGAAATCATCCAAAACCTGAATGTGAGTGATAATTCTCTTCCCCTTTCGCCTTTCCTATCCCCAGGTACGAGGGGCCCTTGCTGGAGTCAAGTAGACTCCACGAAGCTCTGGGGAGGGGTCCCAAGTCGACGGACTTCACTGCCCTCGTGGCCTGGCTGTCAGAGCAATTGTCAATTTTCGGTAATTTCGAGGAACGTGTGCATCCAACAGCTAGTCCCGAAGACTCCAGTTCATTTTTGCTCGAGTTGAGCACATTCCTGAAGGAATTGGGCTGTGTCAATACTCAGTTCATGTCTGGGAATCTCAATCAAAGACTGGGAACGAGGAGCGAGAGGATGCTTCTGCTGGAGTACCTGATTCACGAGCTCATGGCTAGCAAAATCATTGAGGCGACGAAACCTGACACTGGGGCGAAGCTCCAAGTGACAATTGTGAGCAGTGATATCCATATTCATCAATCATAATTACCGTTAAATTATAAAGTCCTCAATCTTTAACATAAATTTTGAAATTTTAAATACTACATTAACCGTCAATTTGTACATTCAAATTTTTAATATTCTATTAACCAATAATTTAGGGAGGAAGATGGGCGATTATTTGGATAATCGAAAATCAAGTACCTAAATTTAGAATTAACTTAACGGAAAATTTACATTTCAATATTAACAAATATTTTCCCCAATAATCGGAAAATTTAGTTATTAAATTTTATAATGTATTAAATTTGATAAATATCGTTAAACTTTGAACAACATAAGGAGATAATTCTCCTTAATTATTCTTAATATTGGCCATCCCTGATTGTGAGTCCATAATCGTCTCTCTTCACTCCTGAATTCATTGCAGTTATTTCGAATAGATTTTTCATGGATTGAGTGGATTTTTAATTTTGTTTATTTTTTTTTTATTTGAGATGGCTTTGAATTTGTTTTTTCATTCATTCAGCACGAGAGTGACACTGCCAGGAGCCTCAAGGACATGCTGATTGCCCTGGAGTTTGGAAAACCTCCAGACAACATCACTGCTGGTCAATTGTTTAAGAAACTCGAGGAGAAACTGAAAACTGTGATTTCCTCGGCTCCGAAGGATTTGCTTGGTAAGCCACTGGTCATGGGAGAGTTATCGAGGGAACAATGGGGGAAGATTGATCAGCTCCAGGAGGAAATGCGGGAGGAGTTCACGATCCGGAGGGAGATGTTGCTGAAGAGATTGGATGTCACTGTTCAATCGTTTTTGGTAATTACGATTTCTAATGATTTGGTAATTCTGTAATTATAATTTGCAACGATTTGGTAATTATGCTCCTCATCTGTCTGAGTCGTCTGATCGACCATCATCTTCCTTCTGTTCATCTTAGTCAGGATCAGTTTAATCCCCTGAATATTACTGCTCACTGCCCTCTCGTATTTCTTCCTCTCAGTCTCCTTCCTCAAGAACTCGAACTTCTTCCCTCGTTTGTACTCTTCGAGAACTTGTTTGAGGGGAAAGTAGTTCCTTTCTTCAGACTCTGGGAGCTTCAGGTGGAAGACATCAGAGATTATCTCGCTCAGGCACTTCATTTTTGTCTCTCGAGGATCATTAGTGTCTCCAAGGTCTGGGACTCGTCATCAAAAATGTTCGGAGACATTAATTTCATTACCTGACAAAAAATTCCCTTGATCTACCCCTCAAATTAAACAAATAAAATGTAAAAAGTCCCCAACAAATCCTCATGCATCCATTACCCCCAAATAATCTCTTAAAATAATGAATTCGCAGTGGTCAGACCGAATAAAAGCGAAAGAGGGTCAACTCACCAGCTGTTACCACTCGAAACGCGACAAAATGTCGAGTCAGCCGTCAGTAACAATTTCCCAACTACTAGCAGCTAGAGACGATCTGGCGATAATTGAAAAAACGAGTAGTGCAGCAGTGCGGAAGAACACCCAGAGCAGTGTCACAAAGGTCATTATAGGAGCTGTGCCAGATAGGGGGGGCAGAACGAGTGAACAAGCCCCACCACCGCCGGAGATGCCATCCTGGCAGAAGGACAGAGCACCAGATGCATCCAGGGGTGGGCGAGGAGGCGGCAGGGGAGGGGGAAGAGGGGGTGGAGGTAATTATAGAGACCACAAGGACGCGTCCTCGAATTTTGGACAGAATAGGAACTGGCAGGACCAGCAGCAGAGCTCGGGGTCCTATCAGGATGATTACAGAGGGGGCGGGTATCAGAGGGGGGGCCATCAGGGGGGCTACAATAGGGAGGGGAGGGGCGGGAGGG